CCCCGGCGCACTTCGCCACACGGTTCCCCAGGGCATTCAAACATCCTGCGCTGCCACCGAGGGACGGGGATCAGCTATTCTTCTCTTCCCATGATTACTCACAGCCTACAAGCAACACCATATGCTTCTTCTGATCAAACAACCCGCTACATAGGCACCAGTAATTGACGAGACCTGCTCGAAATCACGCAGAAACGTAGCCTACTGAGACCGCAGGAGTTGACAAATCATTGCTAATAATCCTTTTAGGAACATCATGGGCATCAGAGTTTGCAATAGCTTTATTTTTATAAAGTATGCGCTGACAGTATAAAGGACAACTCCATCTCCTTTAAAAGAGGACTGCCCCGCATAATGATCTTCAAGGTGGCAGATCACATAGAAGAGGAAAGTGGCTTGATGAAAGCTTTAATTTTTTTTTAAAGGTTTCGGGTGTTATAGCTTTCATTTACCCCTTCTGGTCCTAAGTGATTCGGAGATACGGCACATTGTTTAAAGAAACTATTGCAAGATGCGCTAGATTGGAAGTTACTTCTGTGGGCTCTAGGTACACGCGTCCATACGCAACTGTGGGGGGGTACCTCCCCAGTCCAAACGACTGCCCGATTGCATATTTACTTTTAAAAAGAAGAATTAGGACCCATAGTTCACAGACTTAATCAGGTTAAAAAAACCCCAAACCAAAACCAAAGCAAAACAAAACCAGGCCGTATACCCGCTCTTGATTTGTAAAACACAGTAGACAGACCGACCGACCGACCGACTCGAGCTATAGCTACAGAAAACGCAGAGGGATATATTACGTTGTTTCTTGTACACACACTTTTCAATGAAAGATGCAGCGAATTTTGTTATTAGGTGGTGGTGGGGGAAAGCTCTTAATACTTTTTCTTTCATGCAGACTATCTCTCAATCGAGTTGATCTAAATAAAAGATTCGTGAAGTATTTTTGATTTTTTTTTTCCCTACGCCTTATAAAAGCAATAGAGTGAGAACACAGGAGAACTTCATTCCGACTCTCCTAACTTTCTGTGCCGTTTGTCTTTCTTGGCAGACGGTCCAGAAGCCCCAAGAGGGTCGCTTTAAATCCTAACTCTACTTGAAAGCAAGCCGTACTTTAGGACGCTTAAGCCTGCTTTTGCTCGGCAGGCGGGACCGTTGCTGCTGCCGTGGAAGTCAACGTGAAGTTTACTGTTGCCTGACCGTCGAGGAGAATCAGGCCCAGACGCGGACGCTGGGCTTGCAGCGCCGGGCGGGCAGGGGGATTGAATACGTCGGAGTACAAAACGCCTGTTAAAAATTTCCGAGGTCGATTAACGCCCTCAAACTGCCCTAGTGATCCTCAGAGCGAGACACATCACATTCATGATGCGATTCGGTGTGCTTGGCTTATTTATTTAGGCTGTGTGTGTGTGTGTGTGTGAGCACGCCTGTACGCGTGTGCTGTACCTGTAAACCGCACCTTTGCTCGATACTTGAACTAAGGCTTTAGGACTTTGCATAGACTTATGTAAATATTTACCCATATATTAACTCCCCCCATAGTATGCCTATAAATAGGGGTGAATCGTCCCTTCTTTCGCCACGCACGTGCTTGGCAGGGGATGCACATCTTACTGGGAGACCGGGGGGAAAGACAACCCGTGTTTGCTTTAGCAGAACACGCAGCAGAGCTCAGTGCCTTCAAGTGTTGACAAAAGCACCGTAAGTCCCCAACCAAACCTGTCATAGGAACTGAAGGGAAAGTATTTACGGCAAAGAAAAGTGACAGCGGAGAGCACCCTGCCTCCGAGCACACCACCCCATGCGATTTACTTTTTTTTTTTTTTTTAAAGTAAAAGCGACAAGCGACACCTGGATCGGAATGGAAATAGAGGCGAATAGGCATTCCCACCTACCTTCTGGAAAAACCACCCTCATTTTTAAATAGCTGGTGGTGAGTCTGATTATGGACGCTTTGTCCAGCTGAGAGGTGATAGCGGAGGGCAGGGGTAGTAATTTAGCCAGTTCATAAAATTCACTGTTTTCTTTCTCCCGTCTAGTCCGGGCAGCATTTTTGGACTTCTCTTTCATCGTGTTTTTTTCCCCCTTCCTTCCTACAATTTAAACTCCAGAGATTCATCCAAAGGTGGAAGGGGAACTTTCAGCCGCAATTCATCTCTCCGGAGCATCAGGCAGTGGTTCTGAGCGCGGCCGTTACTCTGAGAAACCGTTCAGTTGCGTAAAATGCAAACAAGTATTGAAGACCAGAGAGGTGCTCTAAAAAAAAAAAAAAAAAAAAAAAAATTCTCTGAAAAGCAGAGTCAATCGGATGGGAAAGGCGTTTATCCAATGCAGCTCAGAGACTCCAAGCAACTGCAGGGGGAAAAAAAAAAAAAAGCTAGAAGCTTGCGGCACCAGACAGCAACCAAACGAGGTATTTCTGGCCTTTTTTCCTACTCATGGCGGGCAGCATAGCTCCTCGGAAGAGGGTCATAATAATCCCATTTCTTCCCGTGATCCGCTGTCAATCCGAGGCCCGAAACGCCCGGCCGTGGGCCGCCCCCCAGGGCGCCGGGGGGCTGC